TTATATATATATATATATATATATATATATATATATATATATATAAATTAGGTAATATTTTTGTCATCTCAATCCACTAATAGAGGCCAGAGTTGAACCCAGGTCAAATATCCCGGATCCCACACTGTAGTGGGTTCCACACTGATGTAGGGGTGGGAAAGGCAGAACAGGGCAAAGACTCAGGATGTTAGGGGCTTAAGGCTGAGAAGAAAGCATGGCTAACAGCTGGTGCTAAAAAAAGACTGAAGATCTTACTGGTGGTGTTCATATACTGTTCCCTATCAGTATATCCACACCCCAACCACTGCCCTGCTTCCTTCCACTGTCACCAAGGCAACATGGAAAGGACTGGGACTGGCAGTCTGCCAACAAGTCTCTCTATCCTAGACATTTCACCCCCCACCCCCACCCCTGCACCCCCTCCAAAGCCACCTGCAGCTCTCTGTCCCCAGGCCACAGTCCCCACAGAGGCTGCAGCTTGCTGTCTGTCTAGGTCCCAGGAGTCTCCTGTCCTAGTCCTTATTACAGTGCCTTTGGGCTTCTCTCCTTGCAGCCAACAGGGAGAAGAGAATTCTCACCTTTCTACTCCTGAAGCTCAGGGGGTCCTTAGCACCTCACTTTGCCCTCAACACCCCCCCCCATCAAATTAACCTTGTCTTCTCTCCACTCCCTACCACCAGATGCCCCTAAAACCTGCTTCTTACTAACCTTGCTCCACCTTTTACGTCCCGGGTTGCCACTATGATATCAAATCTAGCTTGAACCCTGGACCACTCCAGCAATCTTTCTCTTTCTTTCCCCTTTTCATCTCTTCTTTCCTTCTGTGACACATGACATTTCCTTTCTCTTTTCCCCTCATTCCAGGTAACTCCCTGAGGAAGGGTGTGACATCTGCTTCCCTTTGATTACATCTTTTCCCCTGTAACAAAATTTCTCCCTCTGACTATTTCTCTTCTTAGTTCTGTTGAACAAGGCTGCACTCTCGTTCATTTAAACTAGATTTTGTCTTTGTGGAAACATTTATGCCAAAGGGCAAAAAGTGCATCTGGCTGGTTGTCCCTCCCTTCCTGCCCCAAGGAATCCCTGTGTGGACCTGAGTCCAAAGTTAATATGACGGTGGAATTTCATTGGAGAGTCAGGAATGATGCCTGCCTTATATGATAGCTGTGTCAAATTTCTGATGTGGGAGCTCCTGCCAATGAAGCAAGCAAAGAGTTCCATATATCTCAGAGAGGTTAAGTGATTTGCCTATGTTCTCACGTTATCAAACGAGAGGTATGCGAACCCAGATCTACCTAACTCCAAATCCAGTGTTCCATTGCCTCAACTGCCTTATAGGCTAATGCAGCCCCTCTTTGTGTGTCCATCAAGATTGAAAGCTTCAATATACCCTTGAAGTTAAGTCTATGGCTGTTTGTCCAGAGAGATTCCCCTTTGTCCTTCTCCACAGTGCAGTCTATTCATTTATAGCAAACACTAGCTCAGAATGCTACAAAAATCAGCTTAGCTTTTATCTGGAGACAAAGCCCATTATAAAAGTGCAGACAGCAAATAAGTAAGATTTAAGAGGAAGTGATGCCAGTTCACCAGACAGCAGTGAGGCAGAGGAGGGGGAGGAAGTGGGAAAGGGATCAATTCAGCCAGTCCCAGTGAAGCTGCAAATTCTGTCCAGGCAGGTCACTCCTTAAGTGGGTCAGTGAACCACACGAGGTTCCAGCTACCCTGTGATTATACGTATATTCAGGTCAAGATAGCAGCTCACTTCCCTTGCAATCAGTTGGTGATTGGTGCTGACACACATCCACACACCCTTTTCGAGGGCTGAAAAGTTCATAGGTTTGACCTCTTGCAACTTCTGCCTCCCATGATCCTTCAGTCCCTCCTTTCAGCTGAGGAAAAACTACACTTCCCATCAGCCCCCTTACCAACGAGGGATTACACTAGTAATATTACACTAAGGTTTTCTTCCAAGTCGTGGCATGGATGGGTTGCCATCTGCATTGCTGGGGCTGGGGCTGGGAGTTGGGGAAGCATCCAAATGGATAAGATCACAGGTCCATGTGTGTACTTGAGACTTTATGTTTCATGTGGCAGGATTTAACCCACTTTAACCAATCCAAAGAATAAAGAATTACATTAGGATGTGGTTTTATTGTCATTCCCATTAAAATTTTGCCCATCATAAAATAGTAGGATCGAAGGAGCAGAGATCTAGGACGAGAAAGAATCTCAGAGGCAATCCAGTCAAACATTTTCATTTTATGGATGAGGAAATGAAGACCAGGGAAATCAAGTGACTTGCCCAAGGTCATATGTAAGTTTATCTTTTATAAAAATTACAGTATTCCCATGAGGAATTTAAAGTATCATTTTACATTTATGTGGTAGCTATCTCCAGAGACCAAGGCACTTAAAAATCAATATATCAATCAATAAATATTTATGTTCTGTATCTGTTTATTGTTTCCTATGAACTGTTTGATTATCTGCATTTGATGGGTAAAATATAGACCATGCTATAAGTATCTGGTACCCTGGGTGCAAAATTAAGTGCTGTGCTAGACGCTAGGGATATGAGCACAAAGAATGAAACAACCCCTGCTGGCAATAAGTTTCCTTTCTAATGGAGGAGACAAGAAGTACATATAAAAATATATACAGCAAAAATTGAAAGAGAATAAATGCAAAGTAGCTAGTACGATATGTAAAATTGACCCTCTAGGACACAGCTTCTTAGGACTGGATCCAGTCTGTTCGAACCCAGAATCTTTGGGGGGTCCTAGGCCATACGTAGCTAGATGATATCCCCTGATAGAGAAATATATGTAAGATGTATTTTACTTGTGATAATGCCATGTACTACATGTTTGCATGTGATCTATGTATTGGGTTGACCGGATGCAAATCTTACATAGTAAGTATTATGTCTAGTACATACAATTCTAATTTGGATGCTATGTATTAAATATCTGCAACAAAAACTATGAGTCTGAGATAATTGATCGTGATGACGGGAGCTGGGTGGTATGGTGGGTAGAGCCCTGGACTTGGAATCAGGAAGACTCATCTGCCTGAGTTCAAAACCAAGCTCAGACATTTACTAGCTGTGTGACTGTGGACAAGTCACTTAACCCTGTTTGCCTCAGTTTCCTCATCTGTAAAATGAGCTGGAGAAGGAAATGGCAAACCACTCCAGCATCCTTGCCAAGAAAACCCCAAATGGGGGTCGTTGAAAGGACTGAACAACAATAGATGATATATGCTGTGTGAATTTAGGCAACTCACAAAGCCTTCTTAAGCTATTTTTCTATATGTAAAATAAGGAGGTTGAGCTAGATGACCTCTAATCCTCCAGCTGTAATTTAGACTGAAGAGGTATTCAACTCTTTGACAGGTCAGATAATAATAGCTAATATTTATATAGTGCCTATTATGTGCCAGGCACTATGCCAAGCACTTTACAAATATCTTATTTGAGCCTCACAACAACTCCGAGAGGTAGGTGCTATTATTATCCCCCTTTTACATATGAAGAAACTGAGGCAAACAGAGGTTAAATGACTTTCCCAGGATCACAGGTTTGACCACATTTGAACTCAGGTCTGTCTAACGCCAGGCCACTATCCACTGTGCCACTTAGCTGCCCAATAGTCAAAGATGATTGAGATTGTGAACTTGAATTACTAATGGTACCCTTGAAAAGGAAGGAAAGAGAAGGGAATAGGCATATACACACATACATATATATTTATATATGCATACATACGTATATGTATTTACACATACATATTATATATGTATTATAAATATATATATATATATATATATATATATATATATTCCTGTGAGCCAGGCACTATGCTGAGTGCTTTATAAACATTATCTAATTTGAGGGAACTGAGGCAAACAGCAGTTAAGTGACTTGCCCACAGTCACAAAGGAAGTGTTTGAAGTTAGATTTGAACTCAGGTCTTCTTGACTCCAGGCTCAATTCTGTATCTACTGTGCCACTTAGTTACCAACATGAAAATGGAGAATATTTTAATGCAAAATAACCAGCATTTAAGTTCTATTGTTTCCTAGAATATTTTAGAAGGAAAAAAAGACCACCTTCTTCTTCTTCTTCTTCTTCTTCTTCTTCTTCTTCTTCTTCTTCTTCTTCTTCTTCCTGGAGTTGCTCCAGGAAAACCCTTAAATATATTTAGGATATAGTTTGTTTCTAAGTTTCCTTGAATGTGGGTAAAAGGTGTCTCCCCATCTCCCCTAACCTCCTAGAAAAGCACTCAAGGTAACAAATGCGAATAGGATACAGAAGTTGTTATTTTACCCTCCAAAACAAAAAAAATCAAACAATTCACAGGAACCAAGAAACACATAGAGCACTCCAATCAGCTCCTACTGGAAGGGAATTGAACTTGGAGTGGCCAATAGGGATCCACCCTAGCATTCCCACGGGCTCTCTCTCTCTCCCATAAGGATATACATAGTCCCTCCAAGACTTAAAATACTACCTTGAGATTTAAACTTTATATTTTGAAAGATTTAGAACCAGGAATCCCCTTCTCATCAGACCATCACTATCCTGGTAACTCACTGGCTTTACTCTCCAAATAGGATGCTATGTAAGATATATGTAGATGACGTTCTTCTTTTGAACATGCTGCATCAGGAAATTACTTTCTTTCTCTGGAAAGTCTGACACTGGAGCTTCCAAACTTGGAGACTCTCAAATTTGGGGTTTTTTACAAGGCAGAAAGAGAGGGAGAGGAAGAAGGAGAGAGAAAGGGAGGGAGGAAGGGAGGAAGGGGGGGTGGAGAGACAGAGACAGAGACAGAGACAAAGACAGAGACAAAGACAGAGAGAGAGAGCTGGCATTACCTAGGAAATGTTCCTTTTCCGACTTGAAAGTTAGATTCCCAGATCTCACTGCCCAGGGGATTCAAAATCCCCCCTCCTCTACACAAAAGACTGGGGATCGAAAATGTTGTCCATGAACTTACCCTCAGAAGACAGCGTTCAAGTCACAAGTTTCCTCAACGGCTCCTTGGGTGTCCTTGGGGTGGAAGTGGGGGAAAGGGGAAAGAAAGGAAGAAATATGCACCACCAACAACCACCAGCTTGCTGCTTTCTGGAAGAAGTTACAAGCAATAAAGTGAAACCAGAGTCTCAAAGAGTGTGTGTGTGTGTGTGTGTGTGTGTGTGTGTGTGTGTGTGTGTGTGTGTGTGTGTGTGTAAGAGAGACGGACAGAGGGAGACAGACAGACAGAGACAGAAAAAGGGAGAGAGAGACAGAGACGGAGACAGACACAGAGGGAGACAGAGGGAGAGAGACAGAGTGAGTGAGACAAAGAGAGATAGAGGAAGGGGGGAAGGAAGAGAGGGGGTGAGAGAAAGCAAGTTGGTCTCATAGCTTGTTTTCATATATCATAGGGAGGGACAGATCGCCTAATGAAAGTCCTTGCCCCTGATTCTCAGGGTACTGTGGCATAGTGGATAGAGCACTAAACTGGAACACATCAGCGTGAATCTGCTTCAGTTATTTACTGGCTGTGTGACTCCGGGAAAATCACTCAACCTCTCTTGGCCTAGGTTTCCTGCCTTCAAGGATTTTGCATTCTAATGGGGAAAGAAAACATATAGAGGGGAGGTGGAAAGCAGGGGGAGGGTACTCACATGGGAGCAGGGCTGCAAAGCTTCTGGTAAGGAGGTGGGGAAGTCCCAAGAGTGAGGGATGGAGCCAAGAGTGAAGTGAGCGTAGCCTGGGAGCCTCATGAAATGATGGTCTGGGTTAAGAACTCACCACTGAAGAAAGCGGGCTTTAGGGCAGAGTGGGAAGGCTGCTTTGCATAAGAAAGCAAAAGATGTCATAACATGAAAATATTCCCTTGTGAACTGCCCACTTGTAAAATTAGCCCTCACTCAAGCATCCCTCACTGAATACTGGAGTCTGTCACTAGCCATCTCCACCCATCACATACCAAGTTCTCTGTCAGGACTTCAAAAGAGAATGATTTGAATATCAAAGGAGTAAGAGGAGCCCGTAGGAAAATTGATAAAGCTCTAGAATATTTTCGCAGCAATGACCTTCTATGATTATTCTATGAAAGTGAAATGTGAAGTGAAAGATGGCATGCATTGTCAGGAAAACCATGACCTCCAAAACCCAATAAACACTTGATTTTTGTTGTTGCTATTGTTAGCATGAAGAATTAGTGCGTGATTTCAATGACAATCTAAATGTTGTCAAAGAGAAGATAAAATAAATTTATTTTTCTAAATAAAAGATTAAATAAACTTATTTTTCTAATTTTAGCTCCATTTTTCAAGATAAAGTTCCAATAAAATCTCTTTATTTCACTGTTTGCAATGCAACATTGGACCTCATTTTAAGTGGATTCACTTTTAAGTGGTCTTTTTCAAGTGCCAATTCTCCTCAGATAACAAGGAGCTTCTGTAGCATGCTTTCCCTGGACATTATGATTTCTTAGTTTCAGAATAGTTTCTTAGGCTGGGAATTAAGAAGATTTATCTTCCTAAGATCAGATTTGGCCTCAGACCCATCCTAGCTGTGTGACCCTGGGCAAGTCACTTAACCCTGTTTACCTCAGTTTCCTCATATGTAAAACGAGCTAGAGAAGGAATGACAAATTACTCCAGTATGTCTGCCGAGACAATGGGGTCACAAAGAATCGGACGTGACTGAAACAATTGAACAGCAACAAGAATTTTCTTAGTAGGGTATCATCCTCTGACTGGAGCCTAGAACTTGATCATCATATACACACTTGCTTGCTTCTCCCCTTGCTCTTCTGAGCTAAGGCCATAGCTAGGCCACAGACCTCCTTCTCCACTCATGGGTTGTGTCTCCATATCTTTTTCACGTTCCAGGACCCCAAAACAGATCAAATGGCCCCTATGGCTATCCTCCAAACATCAACAGGTAGGTAAAACCTGTGGCATCATTCTTGGTGGCGTTGCATGCATGTACTAGAAGAGCCACAGACCAATCCCACTGAGCCTTCTGCTCAGGCCTCAGTTCCCCCAGAACGCTCAGTGGTGTGTGATTAAATGCCCTAGTGGTGGCTCTCCTCAAGGAGCTGCCGGTGTAGCTATTGATTCTTGCCAAGCCTGGCACCTCTTTGAAGAGCTTGCTCTCGAAAAATCTCAGGCTTGATCAGAATGTATCCTGGCAGAGAAACCATACACAGAGGAATACTTTTCCCAAGACACCTTGGCTAACGTAGAAACCTTCTGGTTCCTGGCTGGATAAGCCTGTGCGTACTGGGTGAAATCGTCTGTCATCGCTACCATACCGCATATGTTCTTTCAGTCTCCTTCCAGAGACCAGAAACGTATATACACCAGATTGAAAAGCTTCTCTGATGCTTATGTTCTCCAGACAAACAGCTTGAGTCAGTAATACTTTCTTTTGAATACATGGAGCACACGTCTCACATTTCCTCCACACATCTGCTGCCATCTTGGGCCAGTAGGACCTGATCCGGACCAGCTGCAGAGTTTTCTCTTGGCCCCGGTGTCCACAATCATCGTGGAGATTTTCATGGCCATGGATCGATAGGCCTTTGCTCATACCAACTGTCTTCTTGTAACAATAATAATAGCTAGTATTTATATAGCACTTTGGTATTTGGAAAACATTTTACATATATTATCTCATTTGATTCTTACAACAACAACAATAGTATCTAGAATATTATATGTATATGTACACACATTATATATATATGTATATGTATATGTCTATGTCTATACACATACACACCAGGTGCTTAGCACTATGTAATCAATCTATAAATATTTATTAAGTACCTGTTATTTTCCAGGCACTGTGTAGCTATCATTATTATTATTATATAACATTTTAAGGTTTGCAACGTGCTTCCCAATTATTATCTCATTTGATCCTCACAACAACCCTGTGAGGTAGGTTCTATAATTGTCCCCATCTGGGGCAGCTAGGTGGCGCAGTGGATAGAGCACTGGCCCTGAAGTCAGGAGGATCTGAGTTCAAATCTGGCCTCAGACCAAACACTTGGTACTTACTAGCTGTGTGACCCTGGGCAAGTCACTTGACCCCAATTGCCTAAAACAAACAAACAAAAATATAATTGTCCCCTTTTTTACATATGCAGAAATTGAAGCTTAGAGAGGTCAAGTGACTTGCTCAGGGTCGCATAGCTATTAAGTGTCTGAGGCTGGATTTTAATTCACCTTCCTAACTCTAGGTCCAGCACTCTACAACAATTCTACAACAGCCTGGGGAGGAAGGTACTATTATTGTCTTCATTTTATGGATGAAGAAACTGAGACTGTAAGAGTGGCTTACCCAGGGTCACATAGCTAGTAAGTGTATGAGGCAGGATTTGAACTCAGGTCATCCTGACTCCAAGTCCAGCACTTAACCTACTACACCACCCAGCTGCCTTGTATTTTTTGTAGAAGTAATTACAGGCTGAAAGGTACTGAGCATCTGCTTCTGTTAATCTCTTAATAATAGCAAGGCACACCCTAGAGAGATAATTGTGAGTCCCAAAGGTCATGCCCCTTTCTCTTGTCCTGCAAAACTCCTTACCTAGGTACTCATTCTGCAGCTATGGTCACCAATTGTCCATGGGCAATTGGGGGCAGTGGAGGCTGATTCAGGATTACAGCATTTGTTTCCCGCACTTTATGGAAGAAGCTCCTGCCTTCGGTTTTCCTTACTTGTGTGATCAGCCCCGTTCTCTAGATGTCACAGATCACAGTCACCCCTTTTGTGGGAATCAGCAAGGTTTTTGACACAGGAGGCCTATGGGAGAGGGCATTGATGGGGTGCTTGTGTTTGGATCCCGTAGGACCATATCTCTCCCAGCCCAAAGACCCTATCTCTGGCAATGACTAATGAGTGGGCCCCAGTGAGTCAAACTATCTCTCCCTGTTGCAAGAACAAGCTGACCTCTGTAGAATTTCCCTTGTATGAACAGGACTATCTTGTACCAGCAGAACTATCATGTACTGATTCCCACAGTTAACTTCCACAATCCAGAGGTCAAGCTATAGATGTCAACTCCGGAGGTTATCTTGTTACAGAACAAAAACACACCCCTTAGAAGTCCCTCCCCCCTTGAGGGGGCCCAAGGTACAGAAACTGTATGTTCCTTTAGGAGCTGACCACTCCTTGATCCTGCCCCACACCAACTAATTAGCACATTTGGCACACCACTCACTGAACTTTTTTTATGTAAGCTTTAGCACCACCCCATTAAGTTGCAAGTTCCCTAAGGAGCTCTGCCCACTGTATTAGTGTTACAATAAACTTTTTGCCATTTGACTGGAAGACTGCTTGAGTCCAGATGACTCCACCCTGTACCTTGATAGTTTTGGGGATCCTTGTACCCCTAAACCACATCAGTATCACTGTTTACATTGTTCTTCCCTGACCAGTAATGCACAATGGACTTATAGTTGGTCAGTAAGGTGTATAATCATATGTGGTTACATGGATGTGCCCCTATTATACTAATATTTATTGAATTTTTCTCTATCCATAATGTAGCTGAAATAGTACTCCTAATCATTAGCTATAGTGTAAGTTTTGAAGACAAGATGGGGAATCCAACCACCATTTGTAATGTTTCTATGAAAAGGTGATTTAGGGGAAGAAGGATATGTGAAAATATGGTTCAAGAAAAAGGAATGAGAGTTCAAAGACTTGCAGATTGCACAGAAACTTTTATATCATGAAGCCTTTACTCAAGAGAGAACTGGGTAGGTGCTGGACATGGTGAGCACCAAAACAAAACAAAACAAAACAAAAAAAATAAGACTTTTGGAGATGTCTTAAGTCCTTGTTACTGTGTACATTGTTCTCCTGGTTCTGCTCATTTCACTCAGCATCAGTCTATACAAGTCTTTCCAGGTTTTTTTGAAGTCTGCTTGCTCATCATTTCTTTTTTTTTCTTTTTTTGGTGAGGCAATCGGGGTTAAGTGACTTGCTCAGAGTCACACAACTAGTGTCAAGGGTCTGAGGCTGGATTTGAACTCAGGTCCTCCTGACTCCAAGGCTGGAGCTCTATCCACTGCTCCACCTAGCTGCCCCATCGTTCATAATTTCTTACAGTACAATAGTATTCCATTACATTCATATACCAAAACTTGTTCAGCCATTCCCTAATTGATGGGCATCCCCTCAATTTTCAATTCTTTGCCACCAAAGAAAGAGTTGCTATAAATATTTTTGTACATGTGGGTCATTTTCCCATTTTTATGATCTCTTTGGGATACAGCCCTAGAAGTGCTATTGCTGGATCAAAGGGTATGCACATTTTTATAGCCTTTTGGGCATAGTTCCAAATTGCTCTCCAAAATGGTTGGATTAGTTCACAACTCTACCAACAATGCATTAGTGTTCCAATTTTCCCGCATCTTTTCCAACATTTATCATTTTCCTGTTTTGTCATGTTGGCCAATCTGACATGTGTGATGTGATACCTCAGAGTTGTTTTGATTTGCATTTTTCTAATCAATAGTGATTTAGAGCATTTTTTTCATATGATTATAGATAGCTTTAATTTCTTCATCTGAAAACTGTCTGTTCATATCCTTTGACTATTAATCAGTTGGGGAGATAAAACCATTTTAAAAAAAGCCTAGGGGGCGGAGCCAAGATAGCAGAGGGAAAGCAGTGACTTGCCTGAGTTCCCCCCCCAAACCCTTCCAAATACCTATAAAAAATGGCTCTAAACAAATTCTAAAGCAGCAGAACCCACAAAAAGAGTGAAACAAATTTCCATCCAAAGA